CATCCAACGTTCCTACCAAACTGGACCTCAACACTGTCTGTGCTTTCCCACCTCCAAATCCCTCAGGGACATCACCACCCTGTCTTGACCCGTCAAAATCAGACCCATTCAAAGTCCTGATCAAATGCTCCTTCCTCCTTCCTTCCTTCTGCCTTTCTTGATTTTACACACACACACACACACACACACACACACACACACACACACACACAGGCAAAAGTAACTTCTGTGCACTCTGTTTACATCTCTCTTGTAAACTTTCTTTCTATATTGTTTTAAGAGTTATTTGTGTACATGTCTCCTATAACATAATATAAACTCCTTAAAGGCTTATTCATTCATAGCACCAAGCACAGTGTAGCATGTATATCCAACAAATGTTTGTTGCACTGAAACAAATTAAAACCATCACTGATACTATAAAATCATAGGGTACTCTCCAAAAAGTAGGCCAGGAAAATTACCATGATGCAAGTTTCTAGGCAGTTTCCAGAAACATGCAGGCCTTTGCTGCTGCATATTTCATCCTGAAAGTGCTAAAAGTACAGATGGACCAACAAACCACTGGGCAAATGCCCGGCTGCATTCTAGGGTAATTTAACATTTGGTAGAGCTTAGAGTTAGGAAGCGGTAAGGAAACCATAAGGATGAAAAAAGAAGTACAAAGTTCTCAACTTACTATGGTACGATCTATCAACCCCATCACTGCATAGTCAACCTCTTCTGCCACTCCCTACCCCCAACCAAACCCCTAGAATTTTCTATACCCTAACCTTAAATACTATTCTTGTGCTAGATAAAAGTCCATCAATGCTTAATCATGTTATACAGTCACCAAAGTATTAGTCGCTAAGAGCTATACAATGGATCTCAATTTTTATGAAACGCTATTGAAAGCCAAATTGTGTGCTATATTTTTATTGTTCAAAAGTTTTATTTTTTGAAAATAATCTGTTAAAAATTCTAAGCATCACTGAAACCAAATCAATTTCTTGATAAGAAGCTGGCACAACTACGTCTATGGAAAATATAATGGCTTGAAGTCAATAAAATTCTTTACCTATGTATATCATTTTCAATCCATTTATGTAGATTGAAATCCATTCATGCAGATTGAAATCCTTGTTGTGCCATGAGAAGCCCAACATTTATCGCTCCAGAGTCCCATCGAATGAATTTCTAAACTTGGGCAAATGTCAGGATGCATTATCCTGGCATCCCAACCCAAATGAAGACAAAAATTTTTGAAGGTTGATTAATATTGCAAAACTCATTCCTCTGCCTTATTCTGTTAAAAAAAAAAATAATTATATCTCTATACAAACTAGAGATAGGGAAGATTCCTCAAATCATTCTCATCAGGATTAACACTACAAATCAAATACAGGGTGTCCCAAAAGTCTTAGTGAAGACTTAAGCTACTTAAGTTTACATCTACACTGAGACTTTTAGGACAACATGTATACTGTGTAGCAAGCAGTCCCCTCCTGTCCCTCCACCTGAGAGCTACTAAATTAGCCCAATCTTCAAAATCTCAGTGGCAAAAAAAAAATAAAATTAAAAAAACAAAATCTCAGTGGCAAAATTTATGTGAATTTTCGAATATAAATAAAAAATGGATGATGCTTTTTTGATCAACACACCAAAGCTTTCAGTCCAAATGTCAGAGAGCCCAAGCACAACAAAACAAATGCAATTCTTCCTGAAAGCATGAGTTTTAACATATTAATTTTATCTGCTTAATATATTAAAAAAAAAACCACACCCTGGCTCTCAACATCGTCTAGTTTCAAATCACATCCATGGGTATAATTCTAGAAAGCTTTCTTAAAATCACATGAGATGGAAAATAAAGTGTTCACTGTTTACAAATATTGTGCTTAGCTTAAAGGATCCATTAAGGATTACCCTCTATATCAGGTGTGACTTTATACCACCAATCCCGTGGTAGTTAAAAAGCAGCCTCTATTAAGACACACAAAATGCCTATTTTTTTCACAAATACGACCAGTACTTGAACCAGTATAAATATGGGTGGCATTATTTTGGCAAGTGATGAGAAAGGTCAAAGTATCATTATTGACATTAATATTATTAATAATGCTTAACAACTTTCCAACTAATGGAAATGATTTATATGGCATTTAACTGGGGCTCAGGGGAAGCCTTGTGCATAAAAGTCAAGAAATTACATTGACACCCAAGTTAATGCCAGTGCTGAGCATTAAATGATATAAAATATTTATTTGCAACATATTATCAGCAATTCCAAAGCATCCAATCACTCAAGTTTGGGGCTGCTTGTCTTTTTGGAGCAAGTCTATAATCTAAAAGGAACAAAATGACTTCATTTCATAGACCTTGAGAACAGCAGGGTCTTTCAGATCTGAGGGAAGCTTGCTTTTAACAAGTAACACATTTATGAAAGAGGAGAAAAGTTGTTTCTCTGCTGCTAAAATACCCTTTTACTCAAACTGAAAAAGCACTAGCTGTAATCTTACTTCCACCAACTGACTTTGATGACACCTGAAAGGTTTAGTCATCTGAAAATGATGGCCTATCTTGAACCAACCAAAAGAACCAGTTTCTTAAAGCATATATTTCATAGATGATTTCCTTAATGAAAGCATCTATACATTTCTAGCTCTAGAAAAAGACTAAAATACACATTTTATACCCCTGTTTTAACAAATGCTTTGTGAGACTAAGTAAATTTAAATCCCAAATAAAGTCCTACCATACCTTTATAGAATGGTACCATAACAGTTTTAAATAGGTTGGTGCCATTCTCAAGGTCTAAAAAGAGTGGATTAAGTACACATTGTACTTCGAATGTCAACATAATGGGCTTTTGTTTCTTTTTAATAATTTCAAATGTTCGAAATGACCACAGTGTATGATATTCAAATAGGAGTGTTGTATGTGAGCACAAAAAAAAAATGTATATATTATTACATCAAATTGTTTTTGGAGAGTAACCCCGATTATTTTAACTTATAATAACAGAAGGCTTTCATAACTGTCTCATGAACGGGTTACATATGAGGTAGTAAAATGATATAGAACATACCTTAAAGCAGTTTTTAAGGCATGTGATTATTTTTAAATCCAACACAATGAAAACTGTTAAGGAAACAAAACTAGTTACTTGAGGAAAAGCTTCAAAATAATGTTAAGTAGTTCGACTTTTTGGTCACATATTCATTAACTACGAGTATGACCTTTATGTAAAACAACTTTGCTATAACAATAGCCCAACAAGTTTTAGCCCTAGTTATGCTGTAAACCTCAAATGGGGGAGGGGGGGAGCCAGGGAGGAGACTCAAGGGAAAGAATTTTGATCAAACTAGTGAATAACTGCTATGGTTTTCAACCAGTACGATGACATTAGAACTGGTTGTAAAAACAGGTCCGGCAGTACCACCACAGAGACGGTCCTCAGAGGTTTCTGAGTGACAATCCTTTGCTTCTTCAAAATCTGTCACCCTTTATTTCAGAAGCTAGATGCAGTAAGTGAATGAGTTCCATCTTAAGTCTTAAGAACAGAACGCCGTTATACCCAATCCTCTTTGGAGGAAAACTTCAGAGCAGCCTTTCACGTTTTTCAATTTATTTCTACCTGGTCCCCTAACAGAAAGGTCCCTGACACCATACTTCAATGATGTATAGCCCAAGGTGAATTAAATTAAAACCTCAGTTCTTAATTAAAATAGGTATGCATGAGGCTAGTGCAAGACGGGCTGCCTTTCCATCCCCAGGTCTCCTATCTTTCCCTACCAACGCAATTACAGGCCCGAAGACTGCATTTAACCCAAAAGGGTTTGTTAAATTTCGGGAAAAGTCACTGGCCCTTTAAATGTGCTGGCTTTCTTAGCTCAGTCCCTCTCCAGGCAACCACCCCTGAGGTCCCCTCCCTCTCACCCCGCCCCCTCCAAAGTGTCACACTTGAACTTTAACTCAGCTAAAGCAGCCTAGCGCCCGTAGACCCCGCCAGCTGTGGCCGCCCCTTTGCACGTGTCGGATGAGCTATCCTGGGCTCTTTTAGCTAGTGCCCAGCCCCCTGAACCCGGGGTCACTCCTGATAAATCAAAACAAAACGAGTACTGGGTCCTCCAAGAAAACCCTAAGGCCCGCACCAAACCAGCTTCCTCAAGCTTCTTTTCCTCCACCTGCTTGTCCCACTGTCCCCTAAGTCCAGTACACACACACACACACACACAGTCACTTCACCCCTGTTTTTGCTGCCCCTCTAGGTTCCAGGAGAAATGGCATCACGGCTCAGCACCAATTTATGGACTACACATTGGAGGGACTGAGCCGGGACTTTCAGACCCTGACCCTGCACTTCCCTATCAATTTTAAGGAAGGAATCATTGGATTTGGATTCCGAGGACGTGGGTTCAACTCCCGGCTCTCCTCCTTTAATACCTGCGCGACTTAGAGTTTCCTCATCAGTAAAATGAGGGAGCTGGACTAGATGACCTCTAGGTCCCTTCCAGCTCTGAGTCCAAGATCCTGTAACAAGGAAATGGGCCTGTTGCGGGAGTTGTGGCGCCGGGAGTCAAGCCTTATCTCCCTTTTCTGGTCCCGACCCTAGCATCCACTCCACATATTTCATCACTGCAACTGGACCCGTCTTTATTCCCAAAAGATACCCTTGACTCAGCCCCCCAGCCAAAACACACACACGCACAGACACACACTTCCTGCAAATCTCAGACTTACCTCTATACATACACTACTATAGAGTTCCCTGCAAACAAGGGCCGGACATTGGTGAAGGAAAGGCAGCCAGTTTTACAGCTGCCCCCTCGTAGATACAAACCTGCACGCCTATCTCCCTATAGCCTTCCCCTTCTTCCCACATCCCGGAGGTGGTGGTGACCACAGCAGACGCTTCTCACCCTCGTGGCTTCCCAGTGCCTTCGTCGTCCCCCCCTCCCCCCAGGAACAGACGCCCCCTCCCCCCCTCCAGGGGGTGTGGGCTCGGGGGGCCTCACCTTCCAGCCAGCAGAGCTGTTGCTGTCCCCCTTATCCTTGAAGTAGGGGACGCTCTTCACCATCCACTCGTAGATCTGGGACAGGGTGAGCCGCTTCTCGGCCGAGCTCTCGATGGCCTTGGTGATCAGGTCGGCGTAGGACAGGTTGCCCCAGGCGTTGCGGCGGGACGAGCTGCTCTTGCGGGGCTGGCCGGCCAGGGGCCCCGCCGAGGCCGGGGGCACGGGCGGGTGCTGCTGGAGGGGCCCGGGCTGCTGCTGCTGCTGCAGGCAGGTGGTCTCCGGACACTGGAAGTCCGTACACAGTCCTCCCGCGGCCGCCGCCGCCGCCGCCGCCGCCGCTGCCGCCGCAGCCGCCGCCACGGCCGCCGCAGCCGCCGCCACGGGACCCGAGGGCTGCTCGAAGTCCTCGCTCTCCTCCAGGAGGCTCAGATTGCTGATGAAGTCGGAGCTGACAGCGGCCGAGGCGGCGGACGCGGCATCCCCGGGATTCCCTGCCCCGCCGCCGCCGCCGCCGCCGCCGCCGCCGGAGGGGGCCGGACTGGAGGTGGCCGAAGTCGACTGGTTAAACTCCGGTCTGGGAAGGGGCCAAGTGCACGACCGAGGCCGGGGCAGTGGCTCGAAGTCCGGGTCGATCTCCACCACCTGAGGCGCTTCGGCCATGGTGACCCCCCTCCCCTCCCCCCCCGGCCACAAGAGACCGAAAAAGAGAGAAACCAGAGGAAGGGGGTGGGGGAGGGGACTTCTCCGGAGTTAAATACTGGGCTAGGGGTGGGGGAGGGGAAAAGCGGGGGTGGGAAGGGGGGTAGGAGAGAAGCTTAGGTGGGGGGGGGGGAGAGAAACCAGAACTTAACTTCGTGGGCTTGTTAATTAATGCCTAAGCTTCCCGCGAGTTGCGGCGGCTGCTACTGCTGCTCCGGCCGCCGCAGTGGCAGTGGCAATGGCAGTGGCCGCCGGACAACAGGTTCGATTCGGCCGGGAGCGAAAAAGGGACAGAATCCGCCGCAAAGGTGTCCGGCAGACGAGCGCGGAAGGCGGTGGCTGTCCGGGTGCCGCGGCTGCGCCTCCACTACTTGTTCGGTCCTGCGGAGGCGGCGGCGGCTGCGACTGTTGCTGCTGCGGCTGTTGCTGCTGCTCGGGCTCCTGCTGCCTGTTGAATGTGGCGGCGGCTGGCTGAGGGAGCAGCAGCAACTCACCGGCCCACACCAGACTTACGGGATCTACTACCACCACCCAGCCGCGGGGCGGTGAGTCCCAGCTAGCTCCCTCCCCCCGGGGGCTGATTGACTGCAGCACCTCAGCCAATGGGAGCGCGCGCGCTGCTTAGGAAACGACTTGCTTGTCAATTTCGCGGGGCCGGTTTTCCTAGGGGAGGAGGAGGCAGTGGTTTAGTTTGGGGGGGTGAGGGGAGGTGGGAAGGAGGAGGTTTTCGTGGTTTCTTTTTTTCTTTCTTTCTTTTTTTTTTTTGGATCATTATTTTCTGGTAATTCTCGAGTGTGTTTCTGTGAGACTCAGTGTTTTGATTTCTGTGAGGTAAACCAGCGTGGAGGCGGCGACAGTAGTTTGTTTACTACCGAGGAGAGGAGAAGCCTGGGAGGGATACGAGGACGCGAAGATGAGGAACCTCGAGGACGGGTTTTGCAGGCGTCCCAGGGGTCCTCCCCGTGTCTCTTCGTTCTTGGGGTGCTGGGAAGATGGGGAACGGGGGGCAGACGGTAGCGTAGAGAGCCATCCTGGATGTGCAGGACCCACAGGAATTCTAAGCGCTTTAGTAAAACTAGTGTTGGGGGGGAAGGGGTAGCGTAATTTCGTGGATTTCTGCCCAGTCACCTACTTTGAGCCCCACGGGGGATTTATTTTCGGTGGGATATGGAAGTCAGGGCTCTCTCTGTCTCTCTCTCTCTGTTTCACTCTGTCTCTCCCTCTCCTTCTCTCTCCCTTTCTCTCCCTCTCTCTCCCTCTTTCACCCCCCTCCCTCCCCTAATTTACAGCGTGTTTGAGTGAGAGAAAGCCAGTTCGGGTTGCTGATTCCCCAGTCCTCGTGACAAACCTCACTAGTGTTGACTATGTTTCCCGCGAGCAGTAGACACACACACACACACACACACACACACACACACACTACATCTCTATCTCTCTGTCTCTTTCTCTCCCCCTGTCTCTCTCTGTCCCTCTCCCTCTTTCTCCCTTTCTCTCCCTCTCTCTCCCTCTTTCACCCCCCTCCCTCCCCTAATTTTCAGTGTGTTTGAGTGAGAGAAAGCCAGCTCGGGTTGCTGATTCCCCAATCCTCGTGACAAACCTCACTAGTGTTGACTATGTTTCCCGCGAAGACACACACACACACACACAGTCACACACTACATCTCTGTCTCTGTCTGTCTGTCTCTCTCTCCCCCCTCCCTTCCTCCCTCCCTCTTTCCCTTCTCTGAGCCTGTCACTGTTTCTACAACCTCCTCCACCCCTACCTCGGCCACGTGCAGAACTCCGAGACTTGGCCTTGGTGTAGGGGACTGACTGATAGGTCCATTAACCAGGGCCACCCTCCCCTCCTCCCCCTTGCTGCTTCTCTCCCTCTCAGTGAATCCGTTCCATTTCCTTCAGGAACCCAACCACCCACCTGGCAGCTGCAACCTAAAGCAGAAACTCTGGAGGACTGACGGAGTCTTGTCAAACCTGGGGTCAGGTCGGCTCAGCCCAGTCTCTACTGCCCCTTGCACTCACCAGTTAGGAATAGGCTGAACAGAGTGACAAAAGCTAGATGGGCCTTGATCCTCTCACCTAAAAATCTGACATTGGTCACAGAAAAGAAAGGGCAACAAGAGATCCTTGTTCCACCTACCCCGGGAGGCAGAATTCATTCTTAATGTGAAGTAGAACCTTTCTCTTCCCTGTTTTATTAGCACTGGACTGAGTGGATTTCCAGCCTTGGTCTGGGACGACACCCTTGCTTGGGAGGAAAATTTAACCTGACAGAGAAACTGAAGGTCAGGAAATGCCTACCGGGGGTGGGAGTTGGAAGGAGGGGTGGTTAAGAGAGCATATTGTTATCAGCACAAACACTCTGGGAGGACTTGCTCTAATATTCAATGTTTAACCTTTGTGGAGACAGCTGGTGTGGTAGGAAGAGCCTTGGATTGGGAGTCAGAAGATTCCCTAAGTCCTGGGTTCTAAGTCCTGGGTCTGCCACTCTGTGACCTTGGGTAAATCACTTAACTTCTCTGGACTGTTTCCTCATCTGCAAAATGAGGGTATCGGGATTCGATCATCTACAAGGTCTCCAGCTCTCACAGTCTAATATTCTGCTTAAGTCATTTGTCTCCTAATTAAATGGGCTAAAAAGTTTGGGTTTTGTTTTTGTTTTTTTAAGGTGGGTAATATGGCCAAATCTTTGTGGCACGCATTATCCAGCCCCACCCCCACCCCTAAAGGGCCCCTAGGCTGTAATAAGACCTCTTGTCTTGTGGGCCAATCAAATCATGATTCTTCTCTTTCCCCCTCTCCTCAAGCAGGGCGACAGGTCCAGGAAGTCCTGTAGAGGGTGAATGGGGCCAGAAGTAGAAAAGACAATGGACCTTGTGTCTCAGGGAGCAAGAGAAATAGATTTCTATTTAAGTTTTTTTTTTTAAAGGAGGGGGTGTGGAAGACATTTCCTTTCAGAGAGACAGAATCACTTAACATAGAAGATGAACAGCTGGGTTGGGTTTCTTTCCTTAAAATCTTGTCTAAATTGACAGCTGCCAATTCTAGACAATCTCCTTTCTTCCCACCAACAATTATAAAACTGGTAAAGGGTTAGAATGTTATGGCTCTTTTTGCAGAAGCAAAAAAAGAAAGACAAAAATAAAAATCTCATATCCATCCCTTCGTTTCCATTTCAACTGCCTTCACCCTAGTGGAGACCCACATCACCTCTTACACTATTTACAATAGCCCCCTTTTGATTTCACTTATCCTGATCTCTTCCTATTCCAAGTCATTCTCTTGATGTATGCCAGACTAAGACACCACTTTCATGTATCACTCCATCTACAAGAACTGTTTCATTGAATACTTTGAATCTAAATTTCTCTGCCTAACTTTCAAACCCTCCATGATCTGGGTCTATCCTATCTGTCCAATTTTATTTTCATCTAATTTTATCTATCCAATTTACTTTCATCTACTCCTTAACATAAACTCCTCATTTTAGGATGACTGGAGTATTCAAAGATTCTCTTTTGAATAATACTAATTCTTGTCTCCTTGCAACTTTGTGTTTGGTTTCTTGGCCCTACCTAAAATGAACTTTTCCTTCTTTCCACCTTTCCACTTTGTACCTATTCTTTGAGGCCTACATCAAGACTCAGGAAGACTTCCTGAAAACTCTAGCCCATGGTGACCTCTCTTCGCTTTGAACTCATGGCCCTGATTTCCTGTTCCACTGCCTGTCATTTAGCACTTAATTATAAATAGTATTGCCTTGTGACATCACTTACACTGTTGTTTGTATTTTGCCATTTAATTCTTGTATATATTACATTTTCATACTGGTACACCTTATTTCCCCAACTGCTCTATAGATTCCTTAAGTGCAGATACTGGGTACGGTACTTCTTTGTAGCATCCCACAGGGTATTGAATATACTTAGTACTCAATTAGTGTTGTTAGTAGAACATAAGGAAGGTACAAGGAAGAATTATAGTAAAATATATTAATTTGTTACTTCTATGGGAGTAAGTTGGCAGGTAGTGTTAACAATACAAAAAGGAAAAGAAAGATTTTCAATGAAACATTTAAAATATGCAGAAGAAAACATAAGGAAGTTCAAGGGAACACAATCAGTACAGTTAGTACAGTTTCGTTAATCAGGTTGAATCTAATATACACCTAAGATACTAGGCAATAATCAACAACTTTACATACAATACTGTTTTTTCATTCATTGCACATTGAAATGGTCATGTGTATAATTTGTTAATAATAAAATATAAAATTTTAAAAAATTATAGTCAAACACCAGTTCTCAAAATTCTTATGCCAAGTACTTCTGAGATGCTGTGACCCCCAACAGGCATGTGAAAATGTTTTGGTATTTAATTACATTTCACATTTTGTCCCCTTCAGATTTTTTCACTTAATCCTCTCCCCCTAGAAATGGAGGCCTATGGAAAGTACAATAGATTGGGAGCCAGAAAATCCAGAGAATAGTCTCTATTCTATCACTTACAAATTGTATTTGTTGTTGTTCAGTTGTTTTTCAGTTGTGTCCAACTCTTTGTGACTCTCTTTGGGTTTTCTTAGCAAAGATAATGGAATGGTTTGCCATTTGCTTCTCTAGCTCATTTTGTAGATGAGGAAACTGAGACAAACAGGGTTAAGTGACTTGCCCAGCATCACAGAGCTAGTAAACGTCTGAGGCCAGATTTGAACTTGGAGTCTTCCTGACTCCAAGCCTGACACTCTATCCACTTGGCCAACTAACTGCCCCTACCAGTTGTATAGCCCAGGGCAAACTACATAACTTCTATATAATAAAATTAGACCAACTTGCTTTAATTTTAAAAATACTGCCAGATCTTTTTTTCCCCTGTTCTGTTCAGGGACAAAGCTGAAGACAGTCTCTAAGTTCTAGTCTATCTCTGAATCTGTGTTACAACTGAAGAGTTCATTTAAATCAATAAATATTTACCAAGCCCCTGCCATATCCAGGATATTGTACTAGACACTGGGGCAAATGCAGAGCTTAAAGAAAACTTAAATAGATATTC